GTGACTAGATTGGAGTGGATGTGGCGAGGCAATCGACGAGGAGAATTGGAGGGTCAAAGTGTGGATCAAATGATCAATGGAAATTAATGGGAGTAAAAAGAAATGGATAAAGTAATAAACTTTGATTCTATTGGTAAATAAGTAAATTTACAAGAGATAAACCCAACAAAAAAAAAAAAGAAGAAAAAAACAGTCAACCAACAAATTCCATCAAGTTCCTTTCAGTCTTTCACATGTTAATCCTGATCCACCACGGCCTACCACCGTTCACCGCCAATCCGCCGCCGCCGCAAGTCTCTTCCGCTCCGGGCTCAACCCCCTGCTGATCACTCTCTCCCGGCGTCTCCGTCAGGAACTGCTGCCAGAACACATCGTTCCCTCCATTATTACCCGCCACAGACGCCAAAGAGCCGCCCTCAATTTCCACTCCGTTATTATCACCGGCATCGGGGCTTCCCTTCTCTCCGGCAGTTTCTACATCCACAATGAAACTCGAAGGCGATGATGGCGTCCGGGATTCGCAAACCCCATCGCAATTCCCCTCTCCACTCGAGATCTCATACGAGATTCCACTCCTCAACATCAAACCACTCTCGCAATTATAATCAACCGAAGATTCCAACTCCTTCTGCAGTGAACTCAAGAAACGGGTTTCTTCTTCTTCTTCCTCTTCTTCCTTATGCAACATGGCGGCGGGAAGCGGGGACGACAACCTCGGCTTCTTCCGGTTATGAAAGTTTAACCAATGGGAAGAAGATAACAGAAGCTCTGGTCTCAGCCACAATTGACCAAGAAAGGCCACCAATCGCCTCTGTCTCCTGTCAATCCCCTGCATCCGATGCTGTAAACTGAAGAACTCAAATCTGTGTTCTTGATTCTCTTTTTCATGTCTGCCCACTTCTTCCCGGAGAAGTCTGTTTTCGTTCCTCAGCCTATCAATCTCCTCCTCGAACACCCGTCGTTCGAAACAGGAGGAGGACGAGTGGCTGTGGACCGGCTTCCGCCTGCGCATGTTCTTCAACAGATCTCTCTGTCCTCTCACGAACTCTTCATTCGCAAACTCCCACCTTTCCGGAACAATCTTTCTAAACCCCTGTTTAAAAAAAAAAACACAACCTTTTAACAATTTAAGAAATCATTTATTATTCAGGCGAAATGGGATATTTAGGGACTTTGGAATTACGTATGTGTTGAGCTGTCTGATGAAGCTGGAGAAGTTGTTGTGCTTGAAGTAGGCGGGGAGCAAATCGGAGCAAAACAGGGGAGGGTTCCAGACGATGAAACTGAGGCCGCTCTGGCTCCAAGAAACAACGAGGTCTGTCGATGGATCCTCGACCAGTTCATATGTTTTTGTCAGAAACGGGGCGGCAGCTTGTGGATCACAAGGTGTGCCGCCGCCTTCACTTCCACCCATCGTCGTAATTAAGCAGCGACTAACCCAAGCTTGACGGCGACCCAAGAAAACCCAGAACACGAAATTATGCAATGTGAGATTAGAAAACGATAATAATGAGTCTTTTTGGGGTTGGGATATATGTAGTAATTAAGAAACTCAACAAAACCAGAAGTGAATTTCTTGGAGATAAAGAAAGACGGCTGGAGAGAGTGTCTATATACTCCTTATATAGTGCTTAAATATTCACAACATTTGCTTTTTCAGTCGTCGCGAGAATTTTTTTATTTTGATGTTTTTATTCGTTATTTGATAAAATAAAATATTCTTGACATTTCTTATTTCGAAAAACTATTCATGTAGTTTTTTTATATGTAAATTTTATTTTTTATTTCTATACCAATATTTTAATAAAATGAATTGAAAAAACTTGAAATTTTGTCTTGGAAATACAAATGTAATAAATAATTTGAGACGGGAATATGTACATATACACATATAGATTGTTGGGGGGCGGTCAGCTTGACCGGAGGGAGTGAAGAGTTGACTTGCAATAGATCGGGCAGGGGAAGGATTCGATCGATGGTTGATGTGGAATTTTCAACGGCCCTCTCTTTATCATTTGACCCTGCCCGTTTGTACTGTAGCGTTTAGATGGGTGGAGCCATTTGGACGTAAAAATGGGTTAAATGCGTTTGAGTTGTTAATTCACCTTGCTCAACTCTATATGAAAGAGTAAAGAGGAATATTTGTGATGTATACCTCTTTTAATTAAAAATCATACTTCAATGGGAGAGGTAAATAAGGAGTAAGTATATGGTACAACCGGTTGTACCTAAAAATATGTACATCCGGGTAGTACTCATTCTGAAGTAAAGTAGTACTCATTATATGGTTCCTAATAAGTGAGAAATGAACAGTGCTCGTCGCCATAGCCGAGCTTAGCCCACCCAGCTCCGCCCAATCGAATGCTGAATTGATTGCATCCTATCGTTCTCCTCCCTGTTGCAACCATATCATCTGAAGGAATCCTTGAATTTCTTCAAGATTTGAGGGTAACGAAGAATTAAAGTGGTTTTAACTGTACTTATGGCAGAGGAAACACCCCCACCGCTGAATGATCCAGCGGGTCTTGATATGCTCGAACCCAGTGCGAAGAAGACAAAGATTACAGAAGGTGCTTCATCCACTCCCCAACCCACCCCATCTGTTGAGAGAAGTATGTCTACAGACACGAACCAGAATGTTGGAATTTCTTATCGAACGGCTCTTACTGGGAAACAGGAAACGAAAGATCGGGAGAGTTTGAGATCGAAATGACATCCGACGATGAAGATGTGGGCTTTGATGAAGAAGAAGATGCAGAATGCCCAGTCATTAGGCTAACCAAAGAGGAGAAAGCAAGGCTCAGATCACCATGGAGACAAACATTGATCATTAAAGTACTTGGGCGAACAGTTGGGTATACGTATCTACAGAAGAGACTGGCAGCAATTTGGCATCCCAAAGCAAGAATGGAACTGGTAACACTCGAAAATGACTATTTTTTAGTTAAATTCCTCTCTATTGATGACTATGAATTTGCTAAGTATGGTGGCCCCTGGATGGTTCTTGACCATTATCTAATTGTGAAAGAATGGATGCCAAACTTTGATCCCTTTAAGGATTCTACAGAGAAGGTTTTGGTTTGGGTGAGATTCCCAAGCCTTCCTATTGAATATTATGACTACAGTTTCTTAATGAGGGTGGCAGTGAAGATTGGCCGTCCAATCACCATTGACACTACTACAAGTCTTGTATCAAGGGCAAGGTTCGCTAGAGTTTGTGTAGAAGTGGACATAACAAAACCACTTCTATCTAAGTTCACTCTAAGAAGGCGTGTTAGATGCATTTCTTATGAAGGCTTGCACATGATATGTTTTCACTGTGGAGTTTACGGTCACACTGAGGAAAAATGCCCAAAAAAGAACACCGAAGCTAACAAAGATACTGGTGAGACTGGGAATGATATTTCGATAATGGAGGGTGCCACCGCCAATGGTAGGATTGGAAGTCAAAAAGGGGTAGAGCAAACCTCAAGAAGTGAGGGGCTGATTAGACTAGAAGTTGTGGAGAATTATGGGGCCTGAATGGTGGCCTCGCGTCAAAGGCGTCGTGTCAACAATAACCAGGGAAGAAGAGATCAAAGGGAAGCTAAACATGGAAAGGAATCCCAACAACCCAAGAAAGGATCTGTTCCAGGGTACCAACAGGATCGGGGAACGAGGTTCCAAGTATTGACTGAAAACAATTTTCATATGGAAATCCAAAATCTTGACAACGTGGAATTAACTAGCGAGAATCGGCAACCGGTTTCTAGGGATGCTTACGAGTCAACCCCTGGAAGGAATCAAAGCCAAGGAAACAGAGGGAAACGACCGGCGGTACAAGTGAATGAAAGACAAATTGAAGGGAACAACAACCATGGAAAACATAAGGAAAGACAGGCACACCCGGGAAAAAGCAGAGATAGAGAAGAAGGGAGCGAGTCTGGCATAAGCCGAAATAGGGCAGCTGAGAGCGAGGAGCATGTGGTTGTTCAAGGGAACAAACAAGGAGTCATGAATGTGCAACGAATTCCCAATGATAGTTTTGGCAACAACATCGAGGATGTTGTTCAAGTTATCATGAACGAAGAGCACCACAACGATCCACCTTCTAACGAGGAGTCTAAAGCAGAGCAAACATGCGTAGACCCCCAAAGTGACTTGAACGTGGCAGGTAACGAGGTGGTGGGCATGGAGTTGGAGATTTAATGGATCCATCTCGCATCCTCACTTGCCTCCGATTGCATTTGTGTTGATTCTTATTGTGGATCCTGTTAATTCTTGTTTTTGCTCTGGTTTCGTGTCTCCGTGTTTGTTTCTTTTCCTTTCTCTTTTTTCTCTTTGCTTATTCATGTAGATTATCATTTGGAATTGTCAAGGGGCGGCATCTAAAGGCTTTCTTAGAGCTGCCAAATGGTTTATTCAATCTCACAAACCAGACATTTTTTGTCTTTTAGAGACTAAAACCTCGGGAACGAATGCTAACAAGGTTTGTCAGAGTTTGGGTTTTGACAATTGGACTAGAATTGAAGCTGTTGGGTTCAGCGGAGGAATATGGACCCTCTGGAATAATTCGGTGGAAGTAACTATTTCAGCCACCAACCCACAATTTATGGTTATGGAGGTTCGGCTTGATAGCAGGAATAAATTCAGCCTTGCTGTTGTTTATGCTAGCCCCACTCGCCACTTGCGTACGAAACTTTGGTGCGCGCTAAGAAGGGATAAGGTTGGCATTATCACCCCTTGGATCGCCGCAGGGGACTTTAACTCATTTATGCATAGAGATGAAGTAAGCAATCCTGATCAGTTTGATTACCACCGGTGCTCTAATTTCAACGAGTGGATCTTTGATGAAGGTCTACTAGACATGGGCTTTTCTGGACAATGTTTCACATGGAAAAGAGGCAATGAGGGCACGACGTTCAAGGGGGCTAGACTGGACAGAGCACTTTGTTCAATTGACTGGCTTGACAAGAACATTGATACTGATGTTAGACACTTGACAACAATTAATTCAGATCACTGTCCCTTGTTGCTTTCATTCGGCAACATTAAAACTACAAGGCGTATTGGCTTTAAATATCAAGGTGCGTGGGCTAGTCACACTAACTTCATGAATGTGATAAATAAGACTTGGGACCCGAACTGTACTGTCCAGGCCAACTCCAAAAAGATGGCTGCAACATTTGATAACTGGAACCGGGACACTTTTGGCAACATTTATCAAAGGAAAAAGACTCTTACTAGAAGACTTGAAGGAGTACAAGGTGCCTTGGACAAGAATCCTCACACAGGCCTCATCAAGCTCGAAAAGAAGTTGAAGAAAGAGCTTGAAGAAACCCTCCACCAAGAGGAAATTCTCTGGTTCCAACAATCAAGGGAAAAATGGATTACTTCGGGAGATCTCAATACCAAATACTATCATGCTGTGGCTAATATGAGAAGGACTCGGAAGCGTCCTATAAAGTTCCACTCAATGGATGGCTCCCCCCTCAGTAATACAGACATGGAGAAGGTGGTATTGGAATTCTATACCAAGCTTTTCACTAAGGATGATGACGTGGATATCAAGTGGGCTCTTAAAGGCAAATTCCCTAAAATTAGTACGGATATTTGGTCAGAGGTCTATAAACAAATTGACGCCAAGGATGTGAAGGATGCCTTGTTTGACATGGCCCCCTTTAAGGCTCCCGGCCCCGATGGTTTTCACGCAGACTTTTATCAGAAGGCTTGGGAGGTGGTCAATAGCTCTATCACTAAGCAAGTGATGGAATTTATGGATACTGGACAGCTTGAAACAGGTATTAATAATACATTTGTGACCCTTATTCCTAAAGTCCAAAATCCTGAAAACATGAGCCAATTTCGTCCAATCAGTCTCTGCAATGTGATCTACAAGGTTATCACCAAGACCATCACGAACAGAATAAAACCCATCCTTCATGATCTTGTTGGGCCTGAGCAAAGCAGTTTTGTCCCAGGAAGGCAAATTGTTGATAACATTCTGATTTACCAAGAGGTCCTCCATACCATGCGTAAAGTGCAAGGAGGGAAAAAGTATATGGTCCTCAAGATTGACCCTGAGAAAGCATGTGATAGACTCAATTGGAATTTTATAAAAGACACCTTAAATGAAATTGGGTTGAGCAAGGATTGGACAAAGAACATTATGGCTTGTGTGGAAACTGCTAGATTAAGTGTGATTTGGGATGGTAAGCAGCTTGAGTGGATCCAACCTTCGAGAGGAATCAGGCAAGGAGACTCCATCTCGCCCTACTTATTTGTCTTATGCATGGAAAGACTGAATCATCTTATTAAAGACACTGTTCAGAGAGGGAAATGGAAGGGAATCCGCTCGTCCAGGTATGGTCCTACACTTTCTCATCTCTTTTTTGCTGATGATTTAGTTCTTTTTGCAGAGGCCACAGAAGATCAAATCAAGATCATTAAAGAGTGCCTTGATAAATTTAGTCGAGCTTCTGGACAGAAAGTCAGTCTCCACAAGTCCTAAATCTTTTTTTCAAAGCATGTTTCGATTGAAGAGGCGAGGGGAATCACTGAGCTTGTTAATATCCCCAGGTCCTATGACCTTGGAAAATACTTAGGAGTCCCTTCTATCCACGGAAGAGTCACAAATGACATGTTTGGTGCTATTCTTGATAGACTAGATACAAAATTGGAAGGCTGGAGAACCAAGCTCTTAACAATGGCCGGTCGTAGAATTCTCGCCCAGTCCGCACTTACCACCATTCCTTACTATGCCATGCAATCAACAATGCTACCGACAGGGGTTTTGGAAGCTATTGATAGAAAAGTGAGGGGCTTTCTATGGGGCAGCACAAGTGATAACCGTAGGTTCCACCTTGTAAACTGGGAACAAGTCACAAAGCCAAAAGAATTGGGTGGCCTAGGGATCAAAACTGCCAAGGAAATGAATCAAGCCTTAATTGCTAAACTTGGTTGGAGACTACTTAGTGAAGGAGAATCTCTTTGGTCCAAAATCTTGATTGTTAAATATGCTAAAGGGAAAGGTGGGAAAAATATTTTTGGGTACAGGAAGGGAGCGTCTAATGCCTGGAGAGGAATCATGACAGTTATGCCTCTGATTGAGGCTGGCATTCTCTGCCGCGTTCATAATGGGCAAATGACGAGGTTCTGGCTTGACACTTGGATCGGTGAAAAACCACTTTGCGATTTGGTGCAAGAGTTTGGCAGCGGACATGATCCGCATGCCACTGTTGCTGAACTTTGGAATGGCTCTCGTGGGTGGAGTTGGGAGAAAATTCCAAACCTCCCACCTAACATTATTTCTTTCATGCAGTGCTGGGTTATGGAGTTGGACACTAACACCCCTGATGAATTCTACTGGAAGCACGATCCTACAGGTAAGTTTTCAATTAAGTCGGCTTATAATCTAATTAGGGGATTTGCTAACAATGTGCAAGAAGAAGTGTGGTCTATGATTTGGAAGATTAAAGTGCCAAGTAAGATGAAGCTTCTTTTGTGGACTATCTGCCATGAGAAGGTGATGGGAAATGCCGAGCGAAAGAAAAGAAGACTCACTTCGGATAGTTCTTGCCCACTTTGCGGCAACGATGAGACCACCTCTCACATCTTTAAAACTTGCCCAAAAGCAAGACAAATTTGGAATTTTATTGACAATGGAGGTATGGGTTGTAATGGAGATCACACGGAAATGAGGAGATGGGTTGGCGACAATTTAAGGAGAAAGAGAGGCAGCCACGACAACAATAATTGGGCTGCCACTTTTGCCGTCACATGTTGGTGGATTTGGAGGTGGCGAAACAACGTTGCCTTCGGTGGGGATGATCTTGACACCCAGTATAAAGTGGCTTGGATTAAGGGATCAATCGCTGAGATTGAAAGGGCATTCGACAAAAATCAGGTATCAACCCCCTCTTTGATGAATACAAGGGATCCTCTACTAAAATGGAATCCGGCAGTTGATCATGAATTCACTCTTAATGTTGATGGAAGCAATAAAGTTATGGCTAACAGGGCGGGGTGCGGCGGAGTCATTCGCAACAATAGAGGAGAATGGCTTGGTGGTTTTTCCTATAGAACTAGACCAAATAACATCGAGGAAATCGAGGCTAAAGCCATTGAGAAAGGCATCCAATGGGCTTGGGGTAGAGGAGTGAGGGATCTTGAGGTGCAGTGTGACGCTAGGGAAGTTGTTAATTGGATTATAACATCGACGAGTCTGAGGGGACCCATCAGCGATACCATTATAGCGATAAAAAGTTGGACTGACAGATTCCATAAAATCAGCTTTCGAGCCATCTTTCGTGAACAAAATAAGGTTGCGGATCGTCTTGCTAACCTTGGGGCTTTTCAAGACATATCATGGAGAACGTTTGAGGTCCCTACTGCAGATTTGGAAACCTTGAGTACTGATGATATGATGAGGGTCACTACTACGCGACACGCTACCACCACTTCTCGAGGCTACTAGCTCGGGGTCTCCCCCTCCTTGTTGATCAAAAAAAAAGTAGTACTCATTCTCGCACAAACATAACAATTTATTTAAAATAGCGTGGTATTCATTCTGAAATAACACAGTACTCATTCTGAAATACGTAATACTCATTTGCACACATTTATACAATATTCATTTATTAATAACGTAATACTCATTTTAAAACCTAGTAATACTCATTCTCAAATAATCTAGTACTCATTCTTAAACAATATATCATTCATAAAAATCCAAAATCCAAAATCTTAAAATTGGAATTAGAACATACGGAGTATTTGGAATTAGAGATTTGCCTATCGGATCTGCAGATCGGGAGAGCTTCTTCATTGCCGATAGATTTCGCAGATCTTCCTTCTTCCTCCCGACCAATTTTGCCCGAAACTGCCGCAGATCTCCTTCTTCATCGCCTCAGATCGATTTCGCCTTCCGCAGCTCTCCTTCGACCCAGCTTCCGACCCGACCCGACCCTCCTCTTTTCTCCTCCGATCGACGCCTTTTCTACCGGTTGTACCCAATTTTGGGTACAGCCGGTTGTACGGTATAATTTGCGAATAAGAAGGTATTATACCTTCTTTAATTTTGAAGAGGTATCTTTACCTTCTTCATTTGGGGAGGTATATCAATTTTTCCTACCTTTTAAATTTATTTCATCAATTACTTTAGTTATTGTATTTTTGCTTGAATGTATTATTATAAATTATTAATTTGTACCTTTGTTATTGTAAAACTTAACGAGTCAAAAATTAACAAAAAAAGGATACTTTGTTTTTTTAATCTTGCACTCTGTATTTTTAAGTTTTTTCTATTCGGGTATTTATAGTTTTACATGTGTAATTAGACATAATGTATTTTTAATTATTTTAAAACTGACATTCTAATTTTTTTCCCAATAAATTAGTTGTATTTTTATAAAATCTTTAAATTTAAAAATTTAATCAAGAAGAAACAAAGGCAACAAACCTCAAATTTACCTCCCATGATTTTTTTAAGAATGTATATTTTCTTTTCTAATAATTAAAATTTGATTTAAGAAGGTAAATCAACTAACTTTCTCCCAATAATGTATGGAGATGATTTTTTTCCCTCTTTTGCCTTTTGATTTCCCTCCCCCCATTGGAGTTGCACACTTTTTAAAAAGGTAAACTTGATCATTTGGAGAGGTAAATGAGATATATATCTCTCCAAGACACCTCTTACCATTGGAGTTGCTCTTAGTGTGATTTTTAAAGTTGAAAGTGAATCAGCAAAATTTTTTAAAAAACTTTATGAGTAAATAGCACAAAAAAACTCGTATTTGTATTTGATATTGATACAAAAATAATATTATCATGTATTTATATTAATTTCATTTGTTCAAGTTGATTTCATTTTCAATAAAATGATTGTACTCCAAGTATGATTTACTCCATATCGATCATTTTCTCTATTTTGTGTATTTTACTCTTAACTATGGGAGAAAGACCAAAGTAGGACTAAAACATTGAAAATATACTAAAATAGGATTTCTATGTTTTTATTTCCGAAATAGGACTTACATTACCATACATGGTTATATACATTACCAAAAACGTATAGTAATTTGCACATGTACACTACCACATTACAACAGGGCAAAGTCACATTACCACAGTGCAAAGTCCTATTTCGAGAAAAAAACATGAAAGTCCTATTTTGATATTTATCTCTATGTTTTAGGCCTATTTAGGGTGATTTCTACTTAACTATTCCACTTGGACTAGTATTTCTTAATGATATAGATTGCACCCAATCAATTGTGAAATCTTGATTTTGGATAAGAATTGAAGTATTCTCTTAACCGTGGAGATAACTAGTACAATTATAAACAGATTGTTTTTGATAGTTCTAACGTCCCTAAATATTCACAACATTTGCTTTTTAAGCAGTCGCGGTAACTTTTGTTTATTTCAACGTTTTCATTGGTTATTTGATAAAATAAATAGAAATCACCCTAAATAGGACTAAAACATAGAGAAAAGTACCAAAGTATGACTTTCATGTTTTTTTATCCGAAATAGGATTTTGCACTGTGGTAATGTGGCACTGTACATGTGCACATTACTATACTTTTTTGGTAATGTACATGACCATGTTTGGTAATGTAAGTCTTATTTCGGGAATTAAAACATGAAAGTCCTATTTTGATATATTTTCAATGTTTTAGTCCTACTTTGGTCTTTCTCCCTAAAATAAAATGTTCTTGATCAAGGTGCCCATGCTCATTCTGACATTTTTCTGGCTTTCGCCCTCTCCCCAACAATTTAAGTGCATAAAAAATTATTTTTAAAATTCATTTGTTATAAATTAATTTTTATTTTAAATTAATAGTATTTTTGTGCATTTAATTGTTATGATATATAAAATTGAAAAAAGTTAATAATGAAATAAAAATAGAATAAACTCGAAAATTATTTTCAATTATCTTCAATTTAAATCCTACTATCTGTCATAAAATAAGAATAGAAAAAAAATCAATTGTTTATACTATTTTTTATTAAAGATAGAATTTAATTTGAATAGAAATAGATAAATGTTTTTAAATTCATGTAATTTATGAGTTTTAAAATAATTTTTTTAAATATAATTTTATAAATGATATAATTTAATTTGAATATAAAAAGATAATTAGTTATAAAAAAATAAAAGTATAATTATTGCAGTGGTGGTGAGACATTACAAGTGTGGAGTCAGTGAAATGGTGAGTAGAGTTAGTGCTTATGTGGCGCTGAGTGACTGCTGATTAGAGTGAGCGGTGATGAGACATTACCATATTTTAAAGGAGTTGAGAAGTTTGAAATTTATTTTTAAAAATAATATCTTAATCTTGACTTAATATTTACCTAAGAATTTACTTTGGCCTCGTTTCGCATTAACGTTAGAAGTTAGCGTTTTGAAACGACTTGACAGTGGCCTTTAGCATTAGTATTTTCAGAATATCGACACCATTAAAATTTTATTCAAAATATTAATGCTAATTGAAAACACTATCTCTAAACAAGGTCATATTTCATATATTTAAAGAGAAGAATATCAAATTTACTTTTTATTTTCTATAGTCACTAACAGAAACGCGTACTAGCGTGTAATATGGAGTAATTTAAAAAGTAAAATTGATTGCATAAGAGAAGCAATATACTTCCTCCGTCCCCAAATGAATTATGCTTTACGTAAAATGAAGTAAAATTTCAAGTTTTTTTAAACTCATTTTATTTAAAGAATGATATAGAAATAAAAACTAAACTTTTTATATTTTAAAAATATATTAAAAGTTTTACAAAACAAGAGACGTTAAAAATATTTTATTTGATTCCAATAATGAATGAAAACATACAAATTAAAGATTAAGAGGGAGAGAATAGTAAATCATTGTAGAGGATGATGAGAGCCGTGAGGCTCGTCATAAGTAAGCAGATGATTAAAGTTAGTCAAAACCACATTGTGAGTAATTCAAAATCAAATGGACTAACCTGGAAATTTCGTAAATTAAAAACAATACATAGGTTTTGATTGTATTTCTAAAATAACTTTATAGGGTTCCCTTTATTTAAAAAATACCCTAAAAATCTATTTTAAATTCTAAAAAGAGAAGAAAATAATGGACGCATTGTTTTGTTTTACACCTTACTTTGACCTTTTTTTTAAATCTTAGCAAAAATCATCCCGACGTCATTAGTTACACCACCTCCAAGTTGAATCCTAACATAGTAACATGGATGCTAATCCAATCCAACTTTAATCCCATCTCATTGCAGTTATAATTAAAAGTGTTTCTAATTTGATCTGGTTTAAGTTATGTAATTTGCATATATGTCATACATCTTCATCTTCCATATTTACCCTCGCCTTTTGTCATCGTGATCATAATTCAAGGGAAGACAATTCAATCTAAATCTAATGTGTATGGACCTGATCCGTTAAAATATGAGTTCAACTTTTACTTGCCTGATTCGACCGAAATTTGAATACTTACCACCATTAGGAAGTTTTCCAATCCCAAACCAATTATATTAAACTTAAACCCAAACTAAGTTAAGCTGAGTTTGCATATACTAAAATCTTGACTGAATAGTACGAAATATATGTAAATTCAAACTAAAATCTCAACTGAATAGTATATGCAAACTCGAACTAAAATCTCGACGGAATAGTACTCCCCATATGCAAACCCGAACTAAGTTAGGCCAATTTTAGACTGCAACGTGTATATGCAAACTCGGACGGACTAAGTCAGGCCGAGTTTGCATATACCATAAGGAAGTTTTCCAATCCTAATCCTATTTTATTCAGATAGGGGATTGATCAATACAAAGAAATCATCCTAAATAGAAATAAAACATAGAAAAAGTATCAAAATAGGAGTTTTATATTTTTTATTCCCTAAAAAAGATTTCACATTGTGGTAATGTGGTACTATATATATAAAAGACATTTTACTATACTTTTTGGTAATGTACATTGTCATGATAGATAATGTAAATATATTTTAGAATAAAAACAAGAAACTTTTATTTCTGTATATTTTCAATATTTTATTGTTATTTTAGTCTTTTTTCATGAATATACGAGAAATAGAGATTAATGTTTGTGGATGATACAAAAGAGTAGGTATGAGCCAACTTAACGTAAGATTCAATTAATTATTTGCCCAACTTTGCCAACTAAAATTTCCTTTCAACCTTAATTAATGTGACAATACTAATCGTATTTTAAGACCAACTTGAAGTGATTTTCCAATTTTACAGACTCTACAAATTACTGTCAAATGAATCCATGCTTAACAAATAAAGAAATATCCACTAGAAATATTCACTAGTTTCCTTTTCTTTTTTTTTCGTTTTGGCAATATGTTAGGTGACGCGAAATTTGAAGATTTGAAAAATACTCCGTATATGATAAGTAGAAAAACTAACTAAAATTTCAAATAATTAATGTTTGAGTAAATTCCTTGAAACGGTACTCCATCACTATGTACTTTTTAAATTATTTCTCAAGATGAATTAAATACTGAGATGCAACTCGTTATATGAGAAAAATGTTCTATTTAGTACCTGTTCTTTAAGACTGGAAAAAAAAACTGGATGTTGAAAGAAACTCGAAAAAATTAGAAGGAACTGAAAGAAATTGGAAGAAACTGGAAATACTGGAAGAAACTGGAAATACTGGAAGAAACTGGAAAAAACTTAAAGGACTAGAAGAAACTGGAAAAAAACATGAAGGAACTGGAAAAACTTCAAAAAATTGGAAAACCTAAAAAAAACTTTAAAAACATTTATTTTAAATTCTTGTTGTTATAAATTATTATTATTATTATTATACAAAAAAAGTATTATTATTTTTTGAATACAAAAAGCTACTTTTGCAAAAAAATAATTATAATATAAAGTTAGCATAAATATAAAAATATTAAATTTTAAAAAGTCTTTGTGGTTATATTACACCTCAATTTATTTATGTAGTATTTATTATAAATAATATATTTGTAATTATACTTTATATATTACAATATTTTGTTTTAAATATCAGACATGTCACATAATGCAATCAGACCTATTTTTTCTTTCATGATTGACATTTTATTTTCATTGAAGTCCCATTTTTTGGAATAAAGACATAGAACTTTTTTTTATACATTTTTTATGTTTTACTCCTATTTTAGTTTTTTTCTCTAAACTATTTTGACTAACAATTTTTTTTATAAAAATTAGAAAAATGAGCAAATTTTAAGTAAAAAAGGAAAATGTGAGAGATCTTATATAAAGTTAGATTAATAAAACATTCAATTTCACTATTTTATCCATAATTTTGTTAATATAATTTAACATATTGATGTTTTCCTGTTTTATCAAGTAGACTAATATATAAAAAATTTTCTTATTCATATTAAAAAATTGAAGAAAAAATTAATGAGTGTGAATCGTAAAAATAGTGAGATGAAAAATAATAATTTATAAACTATAGTTATGAACATAACAGTTGTAATAATAATAATAACAATCACATTAAAATATATCGTTTTTAGAGTAATTGGTTGAGGAGTAGAAAGAGTTTGAAGAAAATGAGAATAGTTAGAAGAAACTGGAAGGAACTGGAAGGAAGTGAAAGGAAGTGGAAGAAACTGAAAGAAACTAGAAGAAACGGGAAGAAACTAGAATAACTGGAAGAACGGGAAGGAATTGGAAGAAACTGGAAGGAATGGGAAGGAACTGGAAGTTAAGAGTTCAAGCCCTAAAGAACAGACTCTTAGTCTCACGACTAACGCCTGTTAAAATATTGTCAAAACGAAGTTAAAACTTTTACTAATTTTCTCAAATGATCATTTCTAATTTTGTATTTTCTTAAATTGTTCCATTTTCAAAATAAATATCATTAAATATAGAAAAAAAATTAGATTTTGTAGGATGAGAATATAATAAATAAAACAATTAATGTAATTTTATAAATTTTAAAGTGAATGTTTTAATAAGTTATTTGCAATTGTTTAGAAGAATATCTTGTAAATAAAACATTAATACTCTTTTCCTTCCAAAATAAGACCCATGTTACTATAAAATTCTAGACTAATTTTCTTTAAATTTATTTGAAAATAACTTCGACCTATCATCATAAATCGAAGCAGGAGTCTTATTTCAAAACCATTGTGATCGTTAATTTACATGATATTCTCCTAAATAGTTTTAAACAATCTAAAATGTTTGCATTCAACTTTATTAAATTATATTTATACTTTTGTTTATTTTATTTTCATCTTACTCCCAAACCAATTAAATTAAACTTAAACCCAAACTAGCTTTAACAACATGATGATTGGCAAGGTGCTACAACTCTACTTAGCACCAAACGGCTAACCTCTCTAGAACAAATAAATACCTATTCGTTTGCTAGAAAATAATGCCAACATGAGTTACAAAAACTCAACTTAACAAAAAATGAGGGATGACAACTCATGAACCTAACAATGTCTATATCACCTTATGAGATTGATTTGAGAGATTGTGGAATCCATAACTAGAGAGAAAGAGAAGAAGAAAAAGAAGAGAGGATACATGAATATATAGTGAAAAGATGAATAGAATGAATGAAATCTCCCCAAACAAGACATGGGGAGGATATAAATAGAATCATAAATAACAATACTAGACTTGTTGGAATAATAGAATAATGGAATTGTTGAATAATACTGGAAGAACAAGAGAGCATGTATAGAAAACATTCCTAAAACAAGTAGGAATCAATCCAATAATAGAAGATGACTAATAAACAAATAATACCATAATTAATACTATTATAACTATTATGTAGAACTTCTACAATTACAACAATAAACATAACCTACCTCTTCAGCTATAAAAATGACACATTTAAGATAAGGCTAAAAGAGTGCCACATAATTATTTTCCAATTTAGAAAATATATATATCATTCTATCTCACTACTTTATCAAAGACGTATTCGATTTATATAGTCTATGAATGTATATACAAAAGTGTATAAAGCTGTTGGTTCCAAGTATCTGGGACTCCTGGTAGACACCAATGCGTGCAATCAGGATGTTGGTGCCTGCCGACACCGAAAACTGACGGGTGTCCGTCTTGTCTGTACTGTGACATGGTAGTTATGTTCAACAGATACACTTTCTTGGAAATTCTTCTTAAAACTCTCTCCAGCACTAATTCCCCAGGATGAGGTTTTCCAGGTACTTTTGTTGGTCTTGTCAATCCCGTACAATTTCCTGTTACTTCCAAGCTATCTATCCTGCACATTTTAAATACAACGTATCAAAGAAGATACAATAAATAAAAGGCTGACCTACATATATTATGAAAGACCATGTTACAATCACACCACAGATGATACTAAATTTGAAATGGTCATAGACAATAACATTTCTCAGACAATTATAATCTTTACATAATTGTTTCTCAGGGTATCAACCTTAATGTCATTCTCTCGAGTAATTTAACATTCTTCCAATTTTGAATTTATAGAAAAAAACTTATTTATTGGACTTACAGGTCATGATCTGGGGAGACTCCTTGAAAGAAAACTCTAGACTTTGTAGTGTCCACTTGGTTTTCAACCCATCTTCCCCAAGTGTGAAGAGCTTTCTCATACAACACCAATCTATCTCCATCTTTGTATCTAACATTTCCATCCTCTACAATATCCCAGCTGCATCCATTACCAAAACAGAATGTGCATCCTACCTTAGTTTTAAATATAAAAGTGAGTTTTTTTGTTTAGGTTTTAAATGTAGCTAACTTTTGTTTTTTGCCAGTGTGAAGCCACCAATGCCAGGAATCAAAGATGAGAGCATCCATTTCTTTCCATAGGGTGCCATTGCTAATGGAGTTCAGCTTCAACACCCGCTCTCCATCTTCGTCTCTAACAAGATCTACTAGAAACGCAGCCCGAAACAGTAATATGGAAACTTTGTACTTCTGCCATTTTTTATCGAAAGAACCAAATCAATCAAAAATTTAAATTTATTATGCTCTAATTAACATAACAAGTGTGCACTTTAAAAGGTAATTAAATGTATACAATCTTACTTACTGGGAATGAGAAATTAGAAAGGGGTCCAAATCTTTGTAAAGTAAACTTGGCATTTGGGTTTCCCACGTGAAGCGAACATGTGAGGGACTGCCACTGGTTTAGACTCAAAGAGTCTCCTATGAACATCACCTTTTTGCCATTCATTTTTACCAAAAACTTTCTCGCATCAAACCTGCAATAAAGTATATGTCAAGGAATCAACTCGGTCATAAGCGTAAGCTTGTGGTTGTGGTCCATGAATTTTTTTATATACTCTAACATGTCTCCTCACGTGTAGGCTTGACTTCTTTGAGTTTTTCCATAGGGTGACTTTTTTTAAAAAAAATTGGGTAGCGTTAGTTTCGAATCTAGGACTTCTTAGTCAAGAAGACTTTAATCTCATATCAAGGAATAAACATAACAAAGAACTTAGACTTGCGGGTGTAGCCCAAGAAAGATTGTTATATACTCTAGCAGACATAGCAATATAAACAAGTGAAACCAATTGGTGAAAGTTCGGTGGACCAAAGATAGCTATGCCCAACACACAAGCTAATGAGAGTTCCGTCCTAAAACGAATTGGTGATAGGAGAAGAGATCAGATAACTTATATGTTGGGCACTTGTGGGTTCTTTTTCGGTGTCCCAACCCTTTGATGGAGAATTACATGTCACAGAATCAATTCAATCAAAAGCTCAAACTGGTATCAAAGACCATGTGGTTCATCAGTACCTTTTTGGATTTTCTCAAATAAGAAGTCAAAGGTTCAAATCTTCGGTTGAAAAATGTTATGTGTATTTATTTATTCCGATTAGGCTCAGGTTACCCGTAAAAATCGGTTTGTAGTTGTGCACTACAAGGGTACCAAAAGAAGCAACACCCCAACCCAACCTCGCCACACTCCACTCACAAAGAAACGGAGAAGAACTGAGATGAACTCACAGAGGAAGAGAAATATCACACAAAGAACTCACAAAGAGAAGGGATGATGTTTTTCACGGTTAAGAAACACAAAGGGGAAGCCTCAATTTATAATAGAGATTTAGGAGCTAAATAAGGTAAGGTTAATTAGGTTAGGAATAAAGGTTGGGCTTGAGTAAATGGGTTGCTGGTGTTGAAACCCGGGCTTGTCACGTTTTCGTACTAAAGCCGTGTTCGTTTTTGTAACAGGTTTTGATAATGCCAAACCGCCGTGATCAAGTCGAACATTGAATATACAAGGCGAAGAACGAAGATAAGAGCAAGAGCTAAACGAAGACCAAGAACGAAGACCTTAATCATAGTATTGAGTCGGTCTTTATTGTGATCAAGACCTACCCAATCTTTACACCTTGGCTCTTTAGGCTAAAAACTCTCATTGCATTTCTTACATCATAAAAATGGTTTTAAACTTGTTTAAGTCATTAAAAACACTTGGTGTTCATCCAAACCAAAAACCAAGCCATCCAGTGTTCGGCTTTCAGAAACCAGCGTTCGGCTTTCGGTTGTCGGGTTTGGTTTTTGGCATCCGAACCAACCAAGTGGTTTTCAGCATTTTATGATCTGCTTTCACTCTTTGGCATGTTTAAACGGTTCTCCAACAAAAACACTTTGAAAACCATCTCTCGCTTTTAGTCGTTTGACAAAAACCACGCAAAACGGCGTAAACTTGGCTAGCCGTGGTTTTTACTCAANAAAAACGGGGAAGAGGTACCGATGAAGAAAGTCGGAGACAAGTTGATCCCCAAGACCGAAGACGAGTTTGATGCCGAGGACATCAAAAAGGTCGAGAATTATGCAAAAGCAATAAACATGCTTTATTGTGCCGTAAATCCTGATGACTACCGCAAGATCTCTTGCTGCTCAACCGCCAAAGAGATGTGGGATAAACTTGAGGTGACGTACGGAGGAACGGACCAAGTACGTGAAGCCAAGATTGACTTCCTCACCCAAGAATATGAAATGTTCAGGATGAAGGAGCATGAGAAGATTGACGACATGTTCGACCGATTTTCCAAGATAGTCAACGATCTTCATGCATTAAAGAAGGCGACACCGACAGGGATTTTGTGCGAAAATCCTACGGAGCTTGACATCCGAATGGCGATCCAAGGCCGATGCCATCTATGAATCAATCGGCACATCAAATGTCACCATCGATGGCCTAAGAGGTAATCTAAAAACCTATGAATTGACTATTCTTAATCCGTCTTTGAATGACCAAAGGAAAGGGATAGCACTAAAAGCCGTCAAAGAATCAACGATGGATGATTCAAGTGACGATGATGAAGTCAAGCTTGTCATGAAGAAGTTCTGCAAACTTCTAAGAAAGAAAGAAAAGGTTGAGGATGACCCTGTGTGCTATGGATGTGGAGAAGCCGGGCACATCAATAACAAATGCCCGAAAAGCGGAAGGAATGCTCGACACTTCAAAAGGCAAAAGGCGTATATCTCTTGGGGTGGAGACTCCGGCGACGAGTCAACTGACCAAGATGAGGATGAAGTTGCCAACCTCTGTCTCATGGCACACGAAGACCAAACCGACGATGTACAAGAGGTATGTACCATTTCTTCCGACTCTTACACTTTTGAAGAAATGCAAGAAGCACTTCACGAACTTTATGATGAATTTGTTAACGCTTCTAAACTCAACAAATCGTTAAAGAAACGCCTTTCCACTCTTGAAAATGATTTTGAAAAGTTGGAAAAAGATAATGAG